AATTTATTTATTTATTTCAGGTATGGGAATGTATATGACTTCTCAACGAACAACCATGATTTAGGATCGAATGTTTTATTAAATACTCAACAAATAATACTATACATATATATATATATATATATATATATATATATATATATATATGTGTGTGTGTGTGTGTGTGTGTGTGTGTGTGTGTGTGTGTGTGTGTGTACGTGTGTACGTGTGTGTGCGTGTGTGTATTTAGGCAACGATTCTTCTGTCATACACATTCCATTGAATACGACAGACAAGGTTCTTTTATTTAGTTTTTTATACAATTTCTCATGCGATCTAATTTTTTTTTTCTTTTCGGATGATGAATTATATAAAAACTGTCCGAATGTTCTTTTTATCCGAGCGCTTTCGGCTATACATTTAGCCATTTTCAAGAATTAAATATTTTAACTGTTAAATAAGAAATAATTTGTTGTATGTATGTTTTATAAAATGTTTTCATTTTTCAAAACACGGTCAGTATATTGTGTCCATGTTCGAAGTTAATATTATTAAGTGTTGGCTTTTTTTGTTTTTATTAATAAGGCTTTCATTATTTTTAGCCTTTTTTTGCATGTTAATAAAAACAAAAACAAAAACACAACACTTAATAATAAATTTAAAATAGTAAATTTAAAATCTAACATTTCAATTATCATGAATAGGGGCGTAAATATAAAAAGCGCGGGAAAATCATAATCGCGATCATACTTGAAATTTCAGCTTAAACTTAAAAGGTGGAACTGATCACGTGCTTTTTAGTCCTACCCGATCTCGTTTTTGTGTGCGAGGTTCAAAAGAAACTGGACGTGTGAGTATTGGAGCCAACCTATTCCCTTATAACTCTGTCGGAAGTAACAAAAAGCTGTTACCTCGATACACAATCTTGACAGGATGGAATTTATGTTAGAATATTCTTCCGAGCTAATAATTACATTTTCTTTGTTTATTTTACATTTTTTGATAGAAATAAAAAAAATATATATTTCATTCACATAAAATTCGATATTTTACTGTAATGTTTAAAATTACTTTTATTGTTTTTATTTTGATTTCCATGAGAATTTTATGCTTCAATATTTACGTCTTATCAGGGGTCTGGAGAAAAAAAAAGCCGTGTGTATGGAACATATCAGCCACTGTGAAGTGTGTTGTTGGGAAACGCTACTTGTGTGGAGTCTGCATTTGCAGACAAAGAAAGTAATAATAACAGATGGGGAAGAGAAAAGACAGGGTGGGGGTATTATTTGAGACAGAAGAAAAGTTTGAAATAAAGGAAAAAATAAAAGACAAAACAAAGGAAGGAAGAAATTAAAGAAAGAAAGAATGAAAAATAGAGAAATAAAGAATTAAAAATGTATCTATTTTTTACAATAATGATCATTTTATCCAAGTCCCAAGCGACACTCGAGGTAGAGGGTTAGGAAGAAGAAGTGTGAAATAAAGAAAAATAAACAAAAGAAAGAAAAAAACAAAAATTACCTAAGGAAAAAAGAATGAAAAATAAAGCAATAAAGAATTAAAAATATATGATTTTTTTTTTCCAATAATGTCTACTAGAATGGCCCATGAAAATTCCAGAGTTTTCTTATTTGAATTTCTCCAACAATGGAGATATCCATAGAAATTCCCCTGCCACATCGTTAAATATTTGAGCTTAACAACTTTAACAAAATATTGCAATAACAATCATAAAAATGAATGCTGGTCGTTATTTTTAACAAGTAAGGGGATACAAATAAAAAAAGTTTGAAATTATCAACTTTCTCTATTTCACTGAAACAGACCTTAAACACTATTTTCACTTTCTTTCTTTCTGTCATTATCTCACTGAAACCAAGTAGCGTTTCTGAATTGTTTTTTTTTTTTTTCGCGCAATCAAAACGGAATAATTCATTATTTATGAAGTATTGGCAGGAAACACATTTACATTAATATTTTTCTTTCATTCTTTAATTCTCCCATTGAAAGTAGTGTATTTTCACTTCTTTCTACGTGATCAAAGCTGAATAATCCATTATTTATGAAGTATTGGCACGACATAACGGTCGTGTGAAGTAACAAAGAAATGGACAAGCACAACTATTTAACATGTTCAGACTGTAGTGATCGAAGCACTATCGTCTTGTGTTGCTTTCTAAAGGCAGCGATTCGTGGCAAGAAGCCACTCAAGTGGATCTTACATCTCACCGATGGAATGTGAAGGTTGGTTTGATACAATGTACGTGGAATGGCAGGTCTTAGCCGTGAAAATTAGAACCGGTGGACCGAAACAGTGTAGCTCGCCTGAGATCTTTTCACGGATATATCGATAGAACAGAGAGAGGCTCGCGGTATCTTGTCTGTGACAAAATGGTTGTAGGGTGGAAGATAATTTATTACTGCCAAGGATATGCTGACGCTTTTGAATTCTATCGAGACCGAAATATTAAGACTGGGCAGCCCCTGCCTATATATGACAACAGTCCTCCATTTTGGGCCTGATCTCGCTCTTGTAAAGGTAAAGGATACCAGGAGTCGAGTATGTTACAGGGAACCGATCCTTTTTCAATCATCTTTATCGATGGATTGTATGTACGAGTTCCACTTGAGGTCTGGATTGCGCTTAAGTCCCAAGAGGCACTCAAGTCACAGAGCGTTACTGAGAAGACACTCGTTCATGACGTTAGACGAAAATTCCGGGTCCGCAAATGAAAAAAATTATGAAAAATTTCAAGCAAAAATGAAAAGGAAGAAGAAAAAAAATGAAAGAATGGAAATTTTTTTTGAGCATTTCACTCCAAGCAAGGTAAGAGAGCTACAGAGAGTGTGAGAGAAAAGAAGGTTTTTTGAGGAAAGGATAAAGAAAAGGACGGAGAACAAGATCAAGGTATCAGAAGATATCGATTGACATTACATTTAATTTTAGAAGATTATAGCTATCAATGTAGCAAGCAAGAGGAAGGGAGTGCCACTGTGAGGAAGTGCGAGAGAAGAAGCTGTTGGAGCAGAAGAGGTAGTTAAATTTAACTGTTTTGACATTAAAAGGGTGGGACCGAGATGCCAATCTAGTAGCACGCTTAAATTCATGCAGTTGGAGCGCCAGTGATTTGGGGAAAATATGAATAAACGAGTAAATAAAGAAGACGCCTAAAAGAATTGTTTAAATTAGAAAGAGTTCGGTAGTGAAAAAGAAAAAGGGTCCCAAGAGATAGTTCCGAATATTTATAAAGCAAATTGTTCATTGGTTAATCGCTTGCGTCAAGAGAATCGTCGGCCATTTTGATTTTTTTTTTATGTCTATAATCGCATCATAAACCGACCTGCCGACCTGCCCTGAAGTTTTTGTTTTTTTTTATTTTGCATGAATTCGGTTGTTCTTCCTCGTTTTTGTCTTCTTAATCTTTTCTTTTTCCTTTACATTTTATCGCTGATTTCTTCTTTTTACTGTTCTGTTTCTCTTTTTTTTTTCTTTCTTAAAAATCCTTCCTTTTTCTTCCTCCATTTTCTCCCATTACTTCATCTATATTTTTTTTTCTTTTTTAATTTCTCATTCTTTTTTTTCAATCTTCGTCCACATTCTTTTTTTTTTCTACTCCCTCAATTCATCCACCTGTCACATTTTCTTAATTTCTTTTGTTCCTCGTCATTTCTTCTTCTTCCTCCTTTTTTTCTCTTCGTGTTCCTTCTCCTCCTTCCGACACTTCAACATTCTTCTTCTTTCCTCCCCTCCTCTTCTTCATTCCTCTACCTTGCTCATTATTTTTCTTTTCCTTATCATCATACTACTTTCTTATCTTTTTCATCGTCATCTTTCACCTCCTACCCTTCTTCGACCTCTTCCCTCCTTCTCCTCCACCTGCCACTTCATCCTTATAACGTTTCTTTTCCCACTTCTCATTCTCCTCCTCTACGTCTTCTTCTTCTTTTTCCTCTTCATCTTCTTTATCCTCTTTATCATCCTCCTCATTCTTCTTCACCATTCTTTTATCGTTTTCTTCTCCTCCTCCACATTCTTTTACATGTTCTTCCTCCTCCTCCTCCTCCTCCTCTTCTTCTTCTTTTTTCATCTTCTTCCTACTCCTCCTCTTCTTTTTTCATCTTCTTCCTCCTCCTCCTCTTCCTCTTCTTTTTTCATCTTCTTCCTCCTCCTCTTCTTTTTTTCATTTTCTTCCTCCTCCTCCTCCTTCTTCTTCCTCTTCATCTTCATCATCTTTATCATCCTCCTCATCCTTCTTCATCATTCTTTTATCGTTTTCTTCTCCTCTTCCACATTCTTTTTTCTTCTTCATCTCCTCCTCCTCCTCCTCTGCCTCCTCTTTCTTCTTCTTCTTCTTTTTTTATTATTTTCTTCTTTTTTCATCTTCTTCTTCCTCCTCTTCTTTTTCATCTTCTTCTCCCTCCTCCTCATCTTTTTTCTTCTTCTTCCTTATTATTTTTTCCTCTTCCTCTTCTTTATTTTCTTTATCATCCTCCTTATTCTTCTTCATTCTTTTACCGTTTTCTTCACTTCTTCCACATTCTTTTTTCATCTTCCTTCTCCTACTCCTCCTCCTCCTTTTTTCTTCTTCTTCTTCTTCTTCTTCTTCTTCTTCTTCTTCTTCTTCTTCTTCTTCTTCTTCTAATCTTTCTCTTTAACCACATATTCTGCTAGCCGTACGACTAATTGTTGATTGTTGTGCATAAAACTACATCACTACCAAATAAGCTAAGTTGTGCAACTGAGATGCAAAAATCAGATTCTGATGCCCATTGCCTGGCAACCGAATCACCAGGGGGTGAGAAACCGTTAACTTCAGGACGCACGTGGGGTGGCAAGGGAAGTGACATTATTTACTTTGGACACAGCTTGAAGAGGGAATGTGGAAAAACAGAATGAGAAATCCCAAAGAAGTCGAAAATGGATAATGAGTTAAGGGTATTATACAAGAACTTAGATCTGACACAAGAGAGAAGGAGTGAGAGGAAATAGAGACAAATAGAGAGTGAAGTCAGAGACAGGCTTATAAACGAGAGAGGTAAGGATAAGAGAAAGAGAGAGACGGACAAGAGCAAGGCAAAGTTAAGAGGGAGAAAAATGTAAGAGAGAAACAGAAGTGAGACAAAAGTAAGAGAGAGAGAGAGAGAGAGATAGAAAGATAGAAGTAGTATAGAGACGGGTGTGAAGGAGACAGAAAGTAGTCAGAAAGAAAGAAAGAAAGAAAGAAAGAAAGAAAGAAAGAAAGAAAGAAAGAAAGAAAGAAAAGCAAAGAGAAGAGAGAGATAAAGGTAAGATCAGAGAGAGAGAGTGGGTGAGATAAGAATGAGGCCAGGATAACAGACAGACAGAAGTAAAAGAAAGACGTAGAAAAGAAACAGACAATTATGAAAGGAGAAAAGGGTAAGAGGGAGACAAATGTAAGATAGAGAGAGAGAGAGAGAAAGATAGAAGTAGTATAGAGATGGATGTGAAAGAGACAGAAATAAGTAAGAAAGAGAAAGAAAGAAAGAAAAAAAGAAAGAAGCAAATAAGAGAAAAGCAAAGAGAAGAGAGAGACAAAGGTAAAATCAGAGAGAGAGAGTGGGTGAGATAAGAATGAGGCCAGGATAAACAGACAGAAGTAAAAGAAAGACGTAGAAAAGAAACGGACAAATATAAACGGAGAAAAAGGTAAGAGAGAGACTAATATAAAAAAAAGAGACGTAATTAAGATGGAAGCAAAGTGTGTGAGAGAGAGAGAGAGAGAGAACAGCAAATAAGAGAAGAGATAAAGAGCGACAGAAGTGATACATAAGTAAAATAAATAGATCAAGATGAGAGAGTAGTAGGTGATAGGCATAGAAAAGAGAGACGGAACGATAAGAGACAGATAGAACTAAGAGAGAGAGAGAGAGGGAGAGAGATAGACAACAAAGAGAAGACATAGAAGTAAGACAGCGGCAAAGGTAAGAGAGACAAAGTTAAGAAATACAAACAAAAGAAAGAGAGAAAAGTAAGAACGGAAGAAATTAGAAAAAGATGTCTAGAAAAGAAAAAGGAAAGAAAGAAAAAGATAAAGATAAGAAGGACACAGAAAAAGACGAGTTAGAAACAGTGTTAAGAGAGAGAGAGAGAGAGAGAGAAAGATAAGAGGGAGTGTAAAGAGGAAGATAAAAGACAAAGAAAGGCAAAGTTAAGATAAACGTAAGAGAGAAGTAAAAATAGGAAAGAAGCCGAGGTACGAGAGAGGGGCAAACATGAGAGAGAGAGAGTAAAGAGAAAGACAAAAGGCAAAGATGAGACAAACGTAAAAGAGAAGCAAAAATAAGAAAGAAACAGAGGCAAGAAGGAGGGGCAAACATGAGAGAGAGAGAGTAAAGAGAAAGACAAAAGTCAAAGAAAGGCAAAGATGAGACAAACGTAAAAGAGAAGCAAAAATAAGAAAGAAACAGAGGCAAGAAGGAGGGGCAAACATGAGAGAGAGTAAAGAGAAAGACAAAAGTGAAAGAGAGGAAATGGGAAAAAGAGAGAGAATGAAAGACGCACATTACGCAAGCACGAAGATAAGAGCGAATGAAGTGACACAGACGTGCCCGCAATAAGACGAAATGTCAAAAAAAAATACATTTTTCCCATGACACCGCTTTTTTTTAACTCCCTCCTCTCTTAATCAATGTTTATTGTTTTAAAAGCGACGATTAGAAATTTAATAAAACCTTATCATATGAATGTAAATTATACATTTTCCTTGTTCATGAGAATTTACAACAAAAATAATAAATACTATTTATTTATCAGATTATTTTTTAAATTATATATTTATTATCTTATTTATTGGAATGGTTCGAAAAACATCGGCTAATTTGCCAATGGACTCAAACCTTATAAAATGGTAAATAATAAAGATTTCTTCATATTAGGTTCACATATTTTAATAATTTAGTAAATTTTTATAAATTTAGGAAAAAATTGTTTTCACATGTTTCTATGGTAAATGATAAATACTTCCTTGGACTACTTTTAATTGTATTAGTGTTTAGTACAGTGGTTACCAACCGATTTGTGGCCACGGCCTACTTTGGTATTTCTAAAATACTAGTGCCCCCTGTAATATTTAATTCTTACATGTATGCCAATTACACATGTATGTACATACATACAAAATATTTTTATGTGTGCATACTGTATATACATCGTATGTATTAACACGCATTAACACACTGACTCAGATTCACAAGAAAACAAATCACTGTTAATAACTCATTCTTGGAATGCCGCCTTATTCTGTTGGTATAGTAAGCCGAAAAGTGCACATCCCACCAACATATTGCCATGACCCACTAGTGGGGCATTCCCAACCCCCTTCCATGTTAGGAATCATTGGTTTAGAATGTTGTAAATATAAAATTATTCTTGTAAATGATCAAATAAGTAATGTCTAATATTTTTGTTAAATTCTCAGAAATAAAAGATAAATGTAAAAATTCACTTTCATCATGTTCTTAGGTTTTATTCCAATTCTAATCATTGCTTTTTAAAATAATAAATATTACCGAAGAAGGCAATATCATGGGAAAAATTGTCCTCTTGGCACTCCATGATATAAGGGGGCACATTTATCCATGTATGCCCTGTTCTTTTTGCGCAGACGCAAACTAACGGCAAACATTTGTAGGAAACGTCTTGAATTTTTTATGGGTAAAAAGAAATGATTCATACCCTCAGGGCCTGCAACGCTGGAAATTTCAAAAACGATATGCAAATGAGATTGAGAAGAAGTCTCTTGACAACTCTAATTCAGGTTTGACAAGTTGGAGAGTTTATCTCACCTATATTTGTATGTCATCAAGAGACTGGTTATACAAATGTGTCTATCGAAATAGGATTTTAAGAGGTATTGTTGCAATATGTAAGTCTCGGATATTTAAGACGTTAGCTCCTTAATGAAGTAGCAAAATAATTTGGATCAATGTCTAAGCTTCCGTTAAGAGACATTTCTCTGTTTTCCTACTTGAAATGTCTGACGAATCTTAATTCTTAAGTTAATGAATTGATGTAATGAATATCCCTCTCACAGTAATATGATTGGCTGGTGTCAGCCATAAATACAGACTGATGTGGAGGTACAGGAACGACGCCTATTGCCTACCACTACGACGAGGACCAGTCCATTATGGTTACCTGCTAGATTGTCCTACTCGGTTACAGTAGTCCAAAACCACTTTGCTACTTCGAATAAATATATCCCTTTCCGGGACATATCATGAATGAATAAGATCATAGCGAGTTCTAAACTTTAAACAATCCGTAGAAATTTCCCTATCGCATCGTAAAATATTTGAACTTAACAACTTTAACAAAATATTGCAATAAAAATCTTAAATATGAATGATGTTCGTTATTATAAGAAATAAGGAGTCTTTGATAGGTTAATATTTAACAGCCCACCACGAGGAATGTATGTGGCGCAAGGCCGAGTTTACCGTGGGTTCTCTAAACCCATAGGCTCGGCCAAAAATATTTCCTTAGAACCCGTATAAACTGGTTCAGGGTCTGTCTACCTCCCCGGACGAAACTTTACCCTTCGGCAAAGCCTCGTCCGGGTTCCTCTCTGCTAAAGGCAAAGAGTTCGACAGTTGAACAGGCTATGGTACTGTTCCATAGCCTGTAAGTAGGATGCACCCAGTTAGGATCGAACTCACTACTCAGTCGTAATCGTTATATCAAGACAAGCTTGATAAACATTACGCCGCCTCGAGGTGCCGAAACAGCGATTGTCCCAGCGTAGCTTAGAAGTGGCACAATGCCGAAAGCATTTCTTGCTTCTTTTTTTTTGCTGAAACCATTAGCCTCTCTGATACGTCTTTTGTCATTCCACGCGATAAAAATGGAATTATTTCTCAGGTACGTAGCGTAACAGTCGTGCAAACGAAACAGGTCGCGGGAAGAAACAAAATTATAATAGGAGTACAATCATTGACGCCTTCCGAATTGTTATGTCTAACCAGTTTAGGTCACAAGGCTTGGATCAACCCGTAGCCCTGTCTACAAGGGTCTTTCAAAAGTAAATCACGCCGGAATTGCATCCAGATAGCATAAAGAAGGTACTTTGCTGAAATATTAACCATGATGTCATTCGAACCCGGGCGCCTCATGCCGGGAAATTCAACATTCTAATCACTCAGCCATGCACCCATACACATATATATATATATATATATATATATATATATATATATATATATATATATATATATATATATATATATATATATATATATATATATATATATATATATATATAACTATCTGTTCAGATAGATAGATAGATAGATATGAATAGACTGTGATAGATAGATAGATAGATAGATAGATAGATAGATAGATAGATAGATAGATATGAATAGAAATTAAAATGAGGAGACATTACTAACGAAGACGAAGACTGGAATGGAGCAAGTAAAGTAAGGGAAGCTTTTGTGTTTTTCAAGTGAAAACCTTGAGATGGTTGGACGTTGAGGTCGAGGCAAACAGCTCTGTTTCCTGAAGAAAAACAAGTAAACCGATAGAAATAAAATGCCGACCAGTGAGAAGAGTGATTAAAGATGCAAGCAGCCGGGGATGGTAGGAGAGACAAGATGGAAGACAATGGCGAAGTAGTCATAAGCAAAATGAAAAAAAAAAAAGTGAAACTACATTCAAAGAAACAACGTGAACAACACATGGATATTAAAGACGAATAATAAAACGTATTTTTTTTTAAAAAAAACGAGCAGATCATTTTGTGTCGGCTTCTCAACGTGAAAGCATTAACATCTATTCACTCATGTGTTTTTTTGTTTTTTTTTATTTTTAACTTCCTTTAATGTCGGACATTTTTTACCGATTTGCATCAACAACGTTCTTATTCTTTATTTTATGTTACATTTTTGTGGTGGGGGGATATTTTTCAACTTTTTCGCATCACAAACTATAAACATTTATTACAGTTCTCTGCTTGTCTTCCGAGACGCTTTCATTTCTGGTGAAATTTTAAAGCAAAACAAAGACTCCAAGTTTTTATAATCTGAATATAAAGCTGTTGCCGAAAATATGTTTTTATTTTGTTTTTTTAACGATTTCAGTGAATAGACAAACAGACAAAGAGGATGCCCTTTCACACGGAACGCATTTAACCTATCCAGCGAGAAGATTCAAAAAGAACTGGAGATCTACAAGGATTTATTTTCAACAATTATAATATTAGCCCCCTACAATAAAACAGATGATACTATCTTACAGATTCTAGCCCTCTACAATAAAACAGATGATACTATCTTACAGATTCTAGCCCCCTACAATAAAACAGATGATACTATCTTACAGATTCTAGCCCTCTACAATAAAACAGATGATACTATCTTACAGATTCAGTAACAAAAGTGATCTGTTAGTCAGGGTAGCAAAGGATATCCAGAAGAAAGGACTAATTTTTAACTATAAGAAAACAAAACGCTTAATTGTCAGCAAGAGAGTCAGCTTATCGCACCCGGCCAGAAGTTACTTTCGGCTACTCAAACGTCTAAAAGCGTCACCACGGAAAACAGAACGAATGCCGTTAATTTCCGGTGACTCAGTGTTTTTCAGAAATCGAAACACAAAAAGCAAAATAAAATGGAACATAAACATACACAAGTCCTCCTAACTAAAGATAATGACCAGAAACTAATTTATATACACATGGAGTCCAAATGAAACCCATGTGTACATTCAAAACGTGGAAGGTAATTTTTAGTCGGCAACCAAATGATGTAGTTAACCAGGCAACGGTACCTAACCGCGGCTGAGACAAAACACAGTCGGTTTCTTCCACTAATAAGA